AATATTCACAGATCCGTTGGCTGACACCATCTTTTGCCGCTAGTCCATAAATATATATATATATATATATAATATTTGTAATATTCACAGATCCGTCGTCGGCTGACACCATCTTTGCCGCCAGTCCAAATGCCGCATCCGTCCTCCGCATACCTGTCCAAATGCCAGTCCAAATGCCGCATCGCATACCTGTCGTCTGTTGTCATCTAACTACTCTCCTCCAAATATTCAACACGGGTAAACTTCTAATTTCAACGCATACATTCGTCTATGCAAAGGTGGATTACTAGTAACATAATTAAGCAAGAAAAATGGCTCTATCATTCCCACGATGTACCTTGAACTGCAAATAATCTAGTGACATCCGTTACGATGATATCTAGTGACATCCCAATAATCTAGTGACATCCGTTACGATGATAGAGAGAGAAGTTAATACTAATAACAATAAGACGGAGCCACAAGACAAAGGATTCCTCAAACACAAAACACACATCGTAATAACATAAAACAGTTCTGGTTTTCCACGTAGTAAAAAGTCTTTAACATAAAAGCAGCTAGCACAAACAACGGGCAAGAGATTCCATGTAAAAAGCCATCTCTTAGTCCGCACATATTAACGGCATGACGCATTATTCAGTAAGCAGACACACAAATATAAAAACAAATCAGGGAGAGTGGCAAAAGGCAGCAGCTCACGGGCGCCACCCTCTCTGAGGAGCCCCACCACTTCCTTTCATGTGAGAATTCAACACGTCAAGCACCGAGTTGAAATCAATGGTCTGACCAGTCTCGTCCAGCCTCTGAATGATGGAAACAACATGGTCAGCCCTGTAACCCATCCCCACCAACTTCTCGATCAACTCATTGTATTGGTGTCCAACTCCCCTGTAACCCATATTAGGTGCATTTTGGTGTTGGAAGTGAGGTAGGTGGTGGAAGGATTGCGGCTGTCCGTACGCAGGAGCAGCCGAGGTCTTGTTGAGGTGCTGAGGTGGCGGCATTGGGGAAGTCGGCCTGCCATAGCCATAGTCTTGGGGCGGTGGTGGGCCCACATACGCGGCCGAGGGCCTCTGCATGGGTATGCTGCTGTTAGTGGGGCCCATGCCCATTTCAGGGGGCTGATGAGGTGGGATCACATAAGGGGTGGTGTAGACTCCCATCTGAGGCTGAGGCTGTGGAGTGGAGGCCCACTGCTGCTGATATGGAGGTGGTGGTGGCACCTGCTGCTGCTGAGGAAGGGGCTCAGTTAGATTTTGTGGTGGATACTGTTGAGATGGGGCTGTCATATTATTATTATTATTAGGAGCCGTCATTTGTGGTGGAGCCATGTAATACGCCACTGTCTGGGGAGGCATTGATGAGGACTGCTGCTGCTGAGGTTGTGCTGCTGCTTGGTGGTGGGGAATTGATGATGACTGCTGCTGCTGCTGCTGCTGCGGTGGCGCTGCTTGGTGGTGGGGCAGTGCAAGAGCCAGCTGCTGCTCATCTGGTGACGGGTTCTCATTCCCTTTTTTGGCTTCGTTTTGCTGCTGACCTGAGGACAAGGATTCCTTGTGCGCAAGCTGAAGCTTCGCGAGCTCCTTTTGAGTATCAGCCAGTTCCTGCTTGTCCCTTAGAATCTGCACTGACCTATGGACCTGCATTCACAACAATTCATAATTCACCTAACTAATATTATTGCTTCCCCAAAACTTCAATGCATCACCAATCAAACCACCACACCCGCACGCACAACTGTACATGCATATGGGGGGCATCCACACTAGTACTAATGCTGATTTTAAAATTGTTTCTCGTGATACTTATGATGTAATTCAGAAGCAAAAACATCAACTACAGGAAAACAAAAGCCATAACAAGATAAAAGAGCAATTAATTATGACTAAAAAACAGTGTAAGAACCCAAAATATCCTCCATAAATGCAATGAAGCAAAAACCAAAACCAGAAGGTTGGATTTTCCATGAAATTTAGCATCTTCAAATTTGTTTGTCCTTACATTTTGTATATCTCTACACAAGAGAGATTCAGATGGCAGTTGTAACAGCATAAAATAAAAAGCATATGCTCTGCGTATGCAACATATGTAAGGAAAAACAGACCTCGTGAACATGCTTCTCCAGAGATTTGAGCTTCGAATCTGACTCTCCATGATCACGTGATAAATCAGAGCGCATTTCACCAATTGATTTGTCAAGGTTATAACAATATAACTCCAACTGTGACAGTCGCGAGCTAATGCCCTCAAGGAAACGCATGATATTGTCAGTGTACTTCTTCATGGTATTCTCAACAGTGAGAATGACACCTTCATTAAATGAAGACTCTTCTGGAGTACTATAACTGGCTGCAGTAAAAGCAGATGACCTTGCCACTCTGCTTTTATTGAACTCCTGCTTTTTATCAAGCACAAAACATGTAAAAACATTATATACGAATAAATGATAAACAGCATAATTTACTGCATAAGCCCCAAATATCAAGAGACACTAAACTTCAACTTATTGCTCGTCTACGAAACAATTTGCACTGCAGACTTGTATGGGGTCAAATTTTACTCGATTCTATTTGTGTGTTTCTAATAATCAAGACTAAGCTATGGGCCACTAGAATGCTCTTGATTTCAGTTTATCTTTACTCAAAGTTAAACATCTGAGAACTTCAAAACTCAATCATAAAGCTTAAAATATATACATTCCTAATTCAGGTCCATAGAGGGAGGAAACTACTAAATTGAATAAAATCTAAGGTGGTCCATTTAAAACACTCTTATTGTAACTCCTGCAATATCAATGAACACAGCCAACAAGAAATAATATATGGATAGTAAAGAAAAGACAGTGAGCAAACTATAGGATAAAAATTTTGCCTATATCATCCACAGTAAAATAATCAATCCAGATGCGTATTGGTGCAGGCCGCAAACAACGGGAACAAAGGTCTGACTTCCAAGGCTACTATTTAAAGACCGGAAGACTCTCGTACCCATTTTCTTGTTACCCCACTTCCATTAATTGACTCATCTGAGATCTCAGTTGGGAGAAGATAGTAAATATTACAAGCAAGAATGCACTAGATAACCAAATATTAAAAGGTATAAATAAGCATGCTATGACAAAAGGTGAGCTCAACATAAACACCAGGTAGAATGGCAATATAAGCATCAGTTATTCAGTTTCATTGACCTATGTATCTTATCATGTCATACAATAGACTGTTTTAATAAAAACAAGCAAACATCTTAGCTTAAACAACTGTTCGAGTAAACTCTAAACCATGATGAAGAGCTTCCATTTTTCAAGCCCAAAAACACCCCAAACAAGCCCTATGAATATGAAAGCATTACTCAACTGTAATCCTTCTGAGTTCTGGTTAAACAGAAGCAAATAAAATTCAACATACGTTTAACGAGTCGTATCAGAACATCGCGACCTGAATCAACCTCATAATCCACAAAAGTCAACAGCTTACCCAAAAAGAAAACACTAAATCTGATTCATAACCCTATGCATAGCGGAGGAAACCCCAAACCCTAACAGGCAAATAAACACAAGCGCACAGCAACCAATAAGGACGACTCAAAGTCTCAAACGCATACCTTGGCGGAATTAGCTATGCTGGAAGGATCTGTGTGGATACCATTACTTCCATCGGGGTTACCGTAATCCTCGTAGGAGCACAGAATATCATCGGACCCGAAATCGAACGCTTTAGAGCCCGAATGGCTAGCCCGTCCCGAGGACCCCGACGCCATGGCTGCTTGAGGTTGAGAGCGATACAGGATTGACAATAGATGTGTGTAGGTAGGTTTTTGCTTGGCTTGCGAGCAATTGAAAAGAACGGAGAATGGTTTGAGTTGAATATTATTTTTGTCAGCGTGTGTTTGCGTAGCTTTGTGGTTTTCAATTGACAATTGGGGGACCCAAAAACAAAAAATGAGAATTGGGGACGTCGACTGTACCTACCGACTTTATCTTTATCCTCAACTCAATCTAACCTAACTCAACCCAACATAAGTGAGTTCTATCACAAAAAAATATATGTCATATAAAAAATAGATCTAGTCTAAAAAATATATCTCCAATACAAACAAAAGTAGACTGATCCTGCTGATATGGCAGTCAGAAAAAGAGACTCGATCTACTCTTAAGTCTATTTTAGACCCAAGTAGAGACCTAGTCTCTTTGCATTTGAGTGAATTTTTTCAATTTTACATAGTTTTATCCATGTCATCAAAGACTTAGGTTTATTTACATGTCACATAGACAAGACTAGACCCAATGCATTGTAGATGCTCTAAGAGCACCCACAATGCTTTGGGTCTCTTAATAAAAAATCACATGTCATGTAAGAAATAGACCTAGTCTATAAGAAAGTGTTTCACAATGCAATTAAAAGTGGACCTAGTCTAGCTTATATGAAAATTAAAAAAAGAGATCAAGTCCACTCTTGGGTCAATTTTGGACCCAAGTGTGAATCTTACAATAGTAATCATTTACTATTATTATATTTTTATTGGTTGTTAGGTATTCTAGACCTAGTAAATTTTTTTTTTTTTTGCATTGGATAGATTTTAGATTTTTTAGCTTGGGTTTGTACATGTCATTTTAGACTTAATTCTATTTATTTGCCACATATGCAAAAAAAGAGATCCAAAGCATTGTAGGTGCTCTAATAATTAAAAATTATTTCTCTCTCCTCCACCTACACAACTCAATCTTCCAACCCAATCTATCTTTATCCCCAGTTCAACTCAACCTAAATATTTATTTTATTATAATTTATTAAAAAATGACAATTGTGTTCTAAAATATATCAAGTGTGCTCTCTATTTATAAAAATGAAAAAAAATACGAATTTTAATATTTTTTTATTTTTTTTAGAAACAAAAAGAAATATACTTGTGCAATAAAAATGGGACAAGTGTCCCATTCCTCCAGAAAACCTGGTCGCGACCCGGGGTCACAATATGACCTGAGTCGCTTAAGTTTGTGACATTTTCTCTTTTTTTTTTTTGTCTTATTCCCGTGACCCAATGAGTGGGTCACGGATAAACATAGTCTAACCATTCACACCATTCGGATATGTTATTAAAATTAATTTTATCGTTTTGTGATTTTTTTTATTATTTTTTTTTCTTTAAATGGTTGATATTATTATTCAGAACAAATAGAATTACTATTTCGGGGCTAAGTAGCCAACTACAGGTATCAAAGGTAGTTTAGGAGTAATACTACAACAAGTGTCCCAACTCAAAAGGGGTTGTAAGATGGAAAGAAAATCAAGTCGTCGGCGGAGGCTAAAGCAACTGATCCGAAGGTCAGATAATCAAACCACAGACAAAATAAATTACACAATGAAAAGGATAACTGGCCACTGTTTCACAAGATCCTAGCCAAAACACAAACCAAAAACAACTTAGTCATATGGAACAAACTAATATGAAAGTAAAAACAAGAAGCAACTAACAAGCACCAGAGCAATGAAAAACTAAAGAAAAGCAACTAACTAACCAAACAACCAACAGAATAAAGAGCCTAAAGAAAAGGGCTAACTAGCACGAGCAAAAGAGAACAACATCCAATCATTACAAGCCATGTTTACCACAGATAATTCAGACCTCCACACATTCTGAAACAGGAGCATGTTTCTTGATTTCCAAATTCACCACAAGATATAAGCTATGAGTTGAAATCTAGCCTCAGAGATTGTATACTTGTTGAGATTGCAGAGTTTTGTCCACCAGCATTTGAAGCTTCCATACTCTAGATTATTGCCATCCCAATTGAGTTGGGACAGCTTCCAAATGAACTTTGATCATGGACAATTGAAAAAAAAGATGCTCATGAGTTTCTATCTATTCCCCGCAAACCTTGCATATTCGATCAACGTTTAGCCCCTTTTTGTTGAGGTTGTTGTGAACTGGTAAGATTTTCTACACACTTTCAAATACAGTATTTTATCTTTCTTTGATCTTTAAACTCCAGTTTATTTTTCTCAGCAGCTTAGAGTCCTTTTGCCCACTACTCCTTTCAGTTACATCTAGAAGACTCCATTTTTCCCCTACTAACTTAGAATATACACCAGCAACTGTGAGATTATCCTTGCTCCCATGATCTCAAATTAATATGTCATCTTTGGATGGATCCAGGTACTTGATGTTGAGAATTACCACTTTTAGCCTTAGTGAGTGTCTCAATATAAGGTCTCTATTCCATTGTCTTCTAGTGGAGTCAATTTGGTTGGAGTAAACTGACTTTTGAAACTAAATATGAATTTCAATATTAAGATTACTTTATTCAGATAAATATAATATAGTTCAAATATTCAAATTAAGAACACTTTTATGAGAACATGTTCAATAATTTATGAATATTTAGTTATGAATTATTATAATTTTTACTAATGTACTATAAATGAAGTTTCATGTTATTTATATATCTATTACTATATAGAAAGGTTACTTATTTATTAAATATAGTAGTAAAAATCTAAATTAATTCCTTCAACTTTCTAATTATGGTAAATATAAAATTTACATGCCACTTTATGTGTTCTTTTTTCCAACGATTTCAAATATGTTTTTTTTTCTTTTTTTTTAAAAGTTATTTCAAAAATAAGTTCCTTTTATATCTCAATAATTTTTCAATAATGATTCACGTAGCAATGTATGAACTTTTTGAAAATTCACAAAACATATGCTATTTATTAAATTTATTTGTTCATTGTTGATATTATATAAAAATATTATTTTCACTACTAAAGAGTTTTATTTTTTTAGAAAAATTATCATTTGCATAAAAAAAGATATATATAAGTGTAAATCGGGCCAAAAAAATGTATTCAATTTTAAATAAAAGATTTATACAAAGTAAAATCGGTTCAAAACACTATTTTCTTACATACATACGAATATAAAATATGATATTTTATATCTTTTATAGTGATTTCGAGATGTAGTGTGATATTTTTTTTTCAGTTTGATTTTTTTATTTACAAGCCATTGGTTCCCCTTAAATTTCAACAATTGTTCAACGTAAATACAACTCATGCTTTAAACACTAATCTCGATAGATACAAATCAATATTTAAAAATCATCTCAACCCACTATTTGTGATGTATACTAATTACTACCGATTCAAATTAAAACAAAGTTTAAATTTTATTAAGAGATACAATATCAAATAATAATAATAATAATAATAATAATAATAATGGGACAAACATCTCTTATAACTTAACATTTTTTTAACACTGATGGGTTACCACTATTGTTTCATTCGAAATACTTATAACGAAGTTTTTTGTGAAATAACTATACTTGTTTTATTTTTATTTTTGAAAAATGGATAGATCATGTAGAATCTTTGTACATTCCTTATTTTACATGAAAAATGAGTAAAATTATTCCTAAAACGAGTGTAACATCTTTATAATGGATTATATAACGTGTTTTAGGTGTTTTTGATCGAAAAAGAACCATAACGAATGTACATTCGTTATGGTGAAATTCGTAAAGAAAGTGCCCTCATTTTGGTTTTTTCTTTTTCTTTTTTTTTTTATTTATGGAATGACGTGTTAAACATTGTATCTTGGGTCATATATCACCTTTGAAGGATAGTTTGGACTCGTTAGAGCGTGAAAATACTCATAAAGAAACTCTTTTTGTGAAATAACTCTACTTGTTTCTTTTTCCTTTTTTTTTTTTTGAAAAATGGATATATCATGTAAAATCTTTGTACATTCGTTATTTTACATGAAATATGAGTAAAATTATACCTAAAACGAGTGTTACATCTTTATAATGGATTATATAACGAAGGTACAATCGTTTAACGAATGTACATTTGCTATGGTGAAAATCATAACGAACGTGCTCTCGTTGTGGTTTATTTTGCGAAATGATGTGTTAACAAATGTATCTTTGTCATGTATCTCATCGGGTCGACCAAACAAGCGACCAGCCAACCCGAAGGCCATAATCATGCTGGATTTTGGACACCAGAACTTTGAGAACTTGCCCAACCTGCCACTAAGGTCATTCGAGCAAGCAACCAGTCAACCCAAAGGCCTTGATCATGTTGGGGTTTCATCTTCGTTGTTTGTCCAACCCTCCTCTGGGGTCGTTCAAACAAGTGACCAGCCAGCCCGAAAGCTTTAATCATGCTGGATATTTGGACTCCTTACACAGCGACCTGCCACTAAGGTCAAACGAAATATATCAAACACCAACAAATGATAATAATGATCATCTTCATTGATATTTTGCAATTGCATGAATTACATAGTGTAACGCCCCGTTCGTTTATTAGAATTCCTGGATTTTAAAAACTATATTTTTTCATGTAAAGATATTTTACAACGAGTCCAAACTATCCTTCAAAGGTGATATATGACCAAGATACAATGTTTAACACGTCATTCCATTAAAAAAAAAAAACACCAAAATGAGAGCACTTTCGTTACGAATTTCACCATAACGAATGTACATTCGTTATGGTTCTTTTCGATAAAAAATATCTAAAATTCGTTATATAATCCATTATAAAGATATTACACTCGTTGTAGGTACAGTTTTACTCATTTTTCATGTAAAATAAGGAATGCACAAAGTTTTTACATGATCTATCCATTTTTCAAAAAAAAAAAAAACAATTTTAGTTATTTCACAAAAAGAGTTTCGTTATGAGTATTTACGTTCTAACGGGTCCAAACTATCGTTCAAAGGTGATATATGACCAAGATACAATGTTTAACACGTCATTCCGTAAAAAAAATCAAAACGAGAGCACTTTCGTTAGGAATTTCACCATAACGAACGCGTACATTCTTTATGGTTCTTTTTCGATAAAAAACACTTAAAACTCGTTATATAATCCATTATAAAGATATTACACTCGTTGTGGGTACAATTTACTCATTTTTCATTTAAATAAGGAATGTACAAAGATTTTACATGATATATCCATTTTTCAAAAAAAAAAAATAGTTATTTCACAAAAAGAGTTTCGTTATGAGTATTTTCACGCTCTAACGGGTCCAAACTATCGTTCAAAGGTGATATATGACCAAATACAATGTTTAACACGTCATTCTATAAAAAAAACCAAAACGAGAGCACTTTCGTTAGGAATTTCACCATAACGAATAACGACTGTACATTCGTTATGTAAGCATCATCTAAAAAAATAAAAAATAAAAACATGAATGGCACAAGAAATTTGATAAATATGAAACCAACATGCTTATCAATCATAAAATATAAACAAAAATGCTTATCAAAGTAAAATAATAAAAAATTCTACCAACATATTTCTTTCATCTTTCTCTAAAATAAAAGAGATAATACTTTGTTTTGTTGTTCTTTCACCATGAACACACTTTTTTTTGCAATATGAAATTACAAATTTATGTGTGATGATCAATCTTTTTTTCTTGAAGAGAAAGCACAAGCGCGCAGGTAAGTTTNAGTTAATAAGGATAGTATAGGTATTTCAGTATTTATATACCTTTATTTAATAGATGAGTCATTTAAACAAAAACATTGTTGAGAAGGTCATTTAAATAAATACACGTCTTGACTATCCTCTTTAAATAAAGCGCCCTCATCAATAGTACTATTATACAATTTTCTGGCCGAACTGAAAAATCTAATCCATATCATGTCCGCACGTCGCTAAATTGTGGATTGCACACCGATACCCTCTACATCTTCACCCTGGCCGGAAAACAAGCCACCGCAAAATCACCATCTCCGTCAAGTCAAGTGGAGTCTTGCAGATGGCATCGATCACGCTAAACAATTTCAATTCCCGCTGTACAATCTCCACACGACCCATCCCTCGTCGCATTCACAGACGAAATGCACCGCCAAGAATCCCGATTGCGGCGGCGGCGGGGCAGCCAAGCGGTGGGGGAATGTCCGCTGAGTTTGAGGAAGGGAAACTGGAAAGGCCTAAATGGACTGGCGAAACTCCACTCTCTCGGCTTGTTGGAGCCCTCATTTCCTTCAAACCTCTGTTTTCTGTTCTCAAGCTTGGTGCAAGACAAGTTTTGATCAGGTCGACTATGAGCTTCATCTACAAACTCTTTTTTTTCGTGTATTTTGGCTTGTTGGAAGTATGATTCATTCAATTAAACAATGTGGGATTTTGCATATTGGATGTTTTCCTCAATCATTCTTAATTGTTGTTTATTTTAGTATTAAGAGTGTCTCCTGACATTGGGAGTTTTTCACCAGGTCCCTCCACCTTCTTCTTGTTTCACTCACCTCTCTATTTTCGCCATGTTTGTTGCGGAGCTCTTCATTTTCTCATCTTATGTTGCTGTTTCATGACCTGTTGTTGTATGCACTCTGGAGTGTTGTCATGTGATTGTTCATGATAAATTTTTGTTTTATTGATGGATCCTTAACTTTCGGGTTTGGATTTGGACAGTACAGCTGAGAAAACCAACATTCCTTGGAGGGACATGACTAAGGAGATTTTGGAGTCTGATGTGTACAAGGAGAAGGCTGCTATTGAAGACCCTTCAATTGTTTATCCTGATTGTAATTCCCCCAATCCTATGATCACTTATCCTTTCCATAAATATATGCCTTCCGTCTTTACTACTATTAATGATTCTTAGATTGCAGCAATGAAATTTGTTCTAGAATAGTCATTGAAAATTGTTGCTGGACCTCAATTTACTTTTTATGTGTATGCCATCTAGTCTAGATGTTTAAATGAAAGTTTTCTTCAGAGAGAGACATAGTAGACGAAATTCTATGTGGTTGATGCTTAATGAAAATATGTGTGGAGAATCTAATGAGATCATGCCACACTTTATAGAATCACACAGAAATTCGCGAACTTTTTTATGTGGTAGAAAATCAAAAAAACTGGCCACTTTTCCTTTTTATTCGTCATTGGCAATTGGCGATTATTGAGTGCAAAATCCTTTTTTTTTTCTGTTGTTTTTTTAATTAAAAAGAACTTATGTTCGTGCTCATTATTATATTATAATCAATCAGGAGACATTGTCTTATTAGTATTAGCAGTCACTAGTACAGTGTCAAATTCAGATAATTGAGGATTACTGGCCTTTTTATGGTTTAAGAACTATAGTTTCTAGTTATATAGCTTGTGAATGCATAACAGAGCAAGCAGCTTTTGGATTTAATTACTATGACACACCACTTCAATTTTATTGGTAAATTTGGATTAGGTGTACGTTTAATGTTCTTCATAAATTTACTTATACCAGGAATGAAAAATGTGGATGCATCATTGATTGATATTCTGATGATTTATCTTCTATTATTGCAGATTATCTCAATTCTTTTCATGCATATGATGAGGGAAACCTCTCTTGGCTGGTAATTGATCCTGGACATTTCTCCTAATATTTATTACATGAGTAAATCGCTGGTGAATATAATTAGCAAATTTGATTATTATTTATCATGTTAACCTTTTTTTNNTCTTCTCTTGTAAAAAATTCAGATACATTTGACAGTTATTTAGAACATAACAATTTTGTTCTGAAAACCTGTTAATTATGTACATTGTACGCAGCACACACTATTTCCCTGAATTTCGGTAAGAGAAATTATCTTCTGTCTACCTTGTATGAGAACAGGCTGCAGCCGAAGCAGAGGCAGCAACTATGTCCATGGTGAGACGGGCTATTCCTTATGCTTCATCGCTTGATGAAGCAAATCAAATTGTACGTGGCAATTGGCTTCAAGCACTTGAAAACCATCACATGCAATATTCAAGAAATTCAATAGTTGCAGACATTCTGGATATTGGATGTTCTGTTGGTGTGAGCACGAGATTTCTCGCGGACAAATTTTCCTCAGCAAAAGTCGTAGTATGTTCGACGACTTTGCGCATCTGTGGATTAATTTTATGATTTGTATATTCTATTAATCACTGTATGTGTAATCATAATTTGATGAGTATTAATTTCATGCATGCTCAAATGGTTGCTCATCCACCTAAACCATTGTTTTGAAACCCGTCCCGCCAGGGGGGTCGACCTGGGGCCGGGACCGGTCCGGGTGGGTTATTCGGACCGGGTAGCAAGGGACCCGGTCAAAACCCAGTTAACCCGGCCTTGACCTGAGTATTGACCGCGAGTTTGACCCGCCATTATATTTTTTATTACCTTTTTCTTATATATATATATACATATATATATATATGTGTGTGTGTGTGTGTGTGTGGTAAATATTTATGGCAAAATACACTATTATTAAGACTTTGGAGTATAAAATTTACTTATAATTTATTTTTATTATTTTATGTATAGTTATAAGATAAAACTAATATAAATGTGATTTAAAATTTTATAAAATTAATTACCCGGTTCAAGAATTGACCTGGTGACCCGGAGACCAGGAGTCTAGCCCGGGTCAATCACCGGTCCGGGTTTTAAAACTATGACCTAAAAGCTTCTTAATTATATATGGTTTTGATATTAAATGTTTGTTTGATCATATCCTGCAGGGACTAGACCTGTCTCCTTACTTTCTAGCTGTTGCTCAATATAAGGAGAAGAAAAGAAACCAAAGGAAACAGCCAATAAGGTGGATCCATGGAAATGGTGAAAACACTGGCTTGCCTGCAAAATCATTCGACCTTGTTTCGATTTCTTACGTGGTATGCCTCGATTTCTGATAATTTTCCCATTTCATTAGATGAATAAACCACTCTTTGATCTTCTTGTCTAGAAAAAGTATTTTATATTTCGTTTGATGGTTTAATATTTTATGATTCATAGTTTCCTTAATCTTTCATTCTTTTGATTAGGAACTTATATTAGGGACATGGATTATTGTAATTTCTTGATTCAGTCCCTATAATTATGGGACATTGTCTGTACAATTCTCCTATATGAGAACATACTTGCTGAGAGTCTTTTCCAAGGAAATATTCACTACTCTAGGATATATTCACAATATCTTTCACTTACATAGCCAACATTACTTCTGAAAATACTGTGGAAATTTAGTTTCGTGGTCAAGGTTTGGATGACCATTGGGGAAAGTAATCTGAAAAGGTTTGATGCCTCAAAGAGTAGAAACTGGAACGAGTAGAGACTATAATTACTTCTGAAAGTGTTCCCATTATGAAAAAAATTACTGATGTTAAGCTTAATGGCTCCAATTTCCTTGGTTGGGGTAAAACTGTCACGGTGCACCTGCGGAGTATTGACAAGGACAATCAACTTTATTCCAATCCTCCCACAGACGACATTAAATGGGCTTGTCCGAGATGATGCAAAGCTGCTGATCGAAATTTGTAATTCTATCAAGCTAGACATACTCTCATTAATCAACCACTGTGAGTTGGTGAAAGAATTGATGTCATATTTGAACTTCTTCTAGTCTGGTCGTAGTAACATCTCTGGATCTACTCGATCTGTAAGTTGTTTCATAGGGGCGAGTAGCAAGATAAGACTCCGAACGCCTATGTTATGGAGTTCAATAAGGTGTACGAAGAACTCAATTCACTCCTTGGTAGAGGTTATGAATGTGATGGGCTCTATGTTCTTGAAGCATTGGGGCCACGCTCTCTAATTTGCTCTTCCTTCTCACCATTCGAAATGCATTGTCGGTTGGGTCATCCTTCTCTCCAGAGTCTTAAGAAGATGTGTCCACAATTATCTTCTTTTTATCTTTACCTTGTGATTCATGTCAGATTGACAAACATTCCCGAGTCCATTTACGTCCTCGAGTTAATAAAAGAGTTGCGTCCCCATTTCAATTAGTTCATTCTGATGTGTTCTTTTGTTGTTCTGTCAAAAACTGGTTACAAATACTTTGTTATGTTTATTGATTATTCTCTTGTTGCTTGGTTTTATCTCGTGGAAAATCGTTCAGAAGTTTTTCACATTTTTCTTCGTTTTGTGTTGTGATTTAAGAATTAATTTCAAAATTCTGTTAGCATTTTGCAAAGTGATAATGCAAAATAATATTTTTCCGCAGATGTTCGGTCTTTTATGCTTCATCATGGTATTTTGCATGAGTCTTCTCGTGTTGATACACCAGCTCAAAATGAGGTAGCCGAGTGAAAAAATCGGCACCTCCTTGAGGTTGCTCGAGCTTTGCTGTCATCCACGTGATACCGAATGGTAGTCTTCTTTAACTATATCAAAACCTTCTTCTCAGTCGTCTACCACCACTTGAGGAGATTTCTACCAATAAGTCATGTGATACATCTTCCGTTCCAAGCTCTATACCGACTAAACCACCTGTTCATGTAGAGGAAAATACATGCAAATTGTTATCAAGTTTTCATCTGTAGCGCAAACCATAATGCAAAATCAGTTAGATGTTTTCAAGTTCATACCTAGATGACATATTGCCGGATTCTTACAGAGGAGAGTGTTAACCTACAATTATGGTTCTAGGAATTGTCACAGAAGCTAGAATAGTTGAGTACCGAAAGTTGTTAGTGTTTGCAGACAAAATCAAAAAGTTGATAATCGAAGTTGAAGCATTCTGCAAGAAAGCACTCCCACAATTTATCTCTTGGATAGAAAGTGATATTATGTTGGATGCAAAACAACTGTTTTGGATAGAGATAAAATGTTTGGGGATAGTAAAGTCAAAACAAAACACTTATCTTTATTTGCAAACAATCTGAAGCTTTTTTTCAAAGAGAATTTAAAATGAAGGTTACTACCTTGTATGCAGAAACTCATTATTACATGTAAATGTCCTTTATTTCAGGATGAATACTGAAAGGGTGAAGGATAACTATAACGATCAAACTTAAATATGGGAAAAGTAGCATTCACACTTTCTGTATTTTGCATCTTTCATCTCACATTAAAGGAAGAAATATCCGAAAACTATGTTTTTAAGAACTTACTAACCCTAATCATTGCATGTTGCACTGAATGTACTGGATGGAACTCCAGCTTATGGCTAGGTCATAATGTGAAAATTAGGTTGCATTTGAAATGACTCAGGCAACAAGATTTCAAATCTATTAATATAATGAATCTATCCAAAAAAGGTTAATGGATTGTTGGGAAATTGAAATCCTTGCTTCTTATGCAAGTATCCAACTGGAGCTATGGGGTTTCATAAGTGCAGTGTCTTGTAGTTATATTCGATTATTATCCCTATGGAAATTATCACACATATTTCTTGTTTTACGTCTCTTAAATGCAGTTTCATGAGTGCCCTGAAAGAGCTATCAAGAATCTGGTAAAGGAGGCATACCGACTGCTTAGACCTGGAGGCACTTTGGCTGTGACAGACAATTCGGTATTATCATGTTTTTCATGAACTATATCTTATCGACATTCATGAATATAGTATATTAAATTTTAAAGTTTTTACTTGGTTTACTCGTGTTTTTGTCCTTTTTGCAGCCAAAATCAAAGATTCTTCAGGTGGGCTTTCTTTTCTTTTACAGTTTCTACTTTCAGTAATCTCTTAGATCTGGTATCCACTATTTTTGTTAGTTTTTGGTGAAAGAACCCAATAATTATTCCGACTGGTTGTGGATTTCGATTGTCTATATGTTATAAATAATGGCATGCTTGTTTAGATGCAATAAACGTGAAACTTCGTCTATTATTTTGAAAATCCTATGACCATCGATGTACTCAACAATCTTCATTTTTGGTTATATCGTGTAAGACCTTTATTTGCAGACCTACCCTCACTATAGGTTTTTCGTTATTGCTATGGACAAGTTCCAAGAAAGCTGCCGTAAATCACTCTAACAACGCATTATATTATGTGTTCCTAGATACTAGAATTTCATGTAAGATGGACAAACATTTAGGACCAAAAATGATAAACTTGAATGATCTTTAGGCTCTTTGTGAAATTATCAGCAACTTTTATGGCTCAGTTGATGTTTTAAAAATTTAGGAGCTATCACCAGTGCTGTTCACATTGATGAAGAGTACTGAACCATTTCTGGATGAATACTACCTAACTGATCTTGAAGAAACAATGGGGCAAGCTGGCTTTGTTCACGTGCATTCAACTTTGACAGATCCTAGACACAGAACTGTCACAGCTACTGTACCTTGTTGATGTGTATTTTCCACTGGTACTCGACATGGTAGAGAATTTGTACACTTCTTGGAGTCTCATTTTCAGTAAAGCTTATTTTGAATCTAAATTTGGACTCAAAACGCTAGCCTGCCTAATATCGTGATTGTTGTTTAATTCAAACTGCTTCAATTGCTGCACTGTATGTATCACTATTAACTAGATCATATGACTCTCAACTAAAGGCAACTAGGATTCTGGTTTTGATGCTATTTTCTCTTAAATCTATCTGACTCCGGTTTTGATGCTGTTTTTTCCCTTGAATTGAGGACCCACATGAAGTAGGCTTGCAACCCACTTTATATGCCCACTACAACATAGGCCTGCAGAATAGAATGCAACATGGCCCACACAAGAATTGGAGATCAAATTGGGCCAAAATTATCGCAGTATGCATTAATCCACTTCTCAGTTGGGTGAATTTTTTTTATTTTTTTTATATTTTTTTTTCTTCTTTTCCGATTACAAGCACGCCCTTAGCCACCTAAAGTATGTCCGTTTTTAGACTTTGCCTTTTCTTGATAGATTACCTCTCAAAGCACACGAAACTGATAATTTGCCTCATCTATTAACGACGAATATTGAATCGGTCTTTAAACTGATTTAGGGTTGTGAAGCCCATGGCGATACAAACAAATTGAGGTGTGGTTTATCGATTTATTAAAATTGATTCATTGGTAATTGCTCGACGAAGAAGGTAAGCGCACGTGTATATAGAAAAATTTCGGTTTAACTTTTTCTATAATCAATATAACCGTGTAACGATAAATTTCGTGTATTGAATTTATAAAAACAAAAAATATTTTACAATTGATTTCTCGAATCAAATGAATTTTGTGGATTGCAATCTCTATTTATCCTCTTATCCTCAAGAATATAAAGAGCATGACTCCCTAGTCTTCGCCACAAGGTAAATTTTGGATCTTCTTCGTGCAGGTCTTGAATTTACTAACGTAATTTGGAGGCTTGACGACTTGTTTCCAGATTGAACACTAGTTTGGCCTTGAACGCCCTTGAATTGTTTTGAATCTTCAAGAACGCGTTGGAACCTTCAAGAACGCTTGAATTTCATAAAAAGAATTTGTAGGAGCTCTTGAACTTGCATATGAATTGTGTTTTCGACCTTAGGGAGAGCTGCTAATTATAGGTGTAGGGGAGAGAGCCTTGGAGAAGAATACATCAATATTGGTCCATGTTTTTCTATATTTATCTCCTTAATAATTATTTAAAATAGATAATTACATCAAATTTTAATATTTACCTCTTTAGTAATAGTTATAAAAATAAATAATTATTTATTTTATTCTCCAAGAAAATGACACGTGACATTCATTAATTGACTTTCAAAACGTACATGCGACATTCTTTAATTGGCCAACAATGTGTATTAAATAATAAATTAACTAAATGTTTAATTTAAAAATTAGAATTCAATTAATTTCTCAAATAAAATAAACATTTATTAAATTGATTTATATAAAATTTAACACTTGTCAACATTTAATTTAATTATCTACAATTTGATTTCGACTGGGAGGTGTCATTTTAAAGCTTGCAGGACATGTCTTGTAATGTAAAAATAATTATTGTGTAGTTATAAATATATGAGAGGATAAATAGTAGCTTTGTAGAGAAATATAATTGAATTGAATTTAATTTTTTATTAAAAAATGTGAGTGAAAAAGAATAGAAATAAAATAAATGATTCAGAATATATAAAAATAATAATAATAATCATTTGCAGAGAATTAGACCCTAATTGTTTGTAGACCAGATACTGTTTTTAACTCATATTTAAATCAACACAACACTCTTCAATATTATCAATATAGTTAAATAATATCAATAAGTCATCCTTACATATTAGATATTACATCAACTTTAATTCATTATTAATCAGTTCATATAATTTTAATTATTCATCACTTATCTCATACTTATACATCAAATCAACATTAATTGTATTTTAAACATTAGTTTAATACAAATTCAAAATTTCATTCACATCTAACCCAATCAAGTTTTTCAAAAATTAACTCTAGTTAATCAACAAATCCAATCAAAACAAAAATACTGTTTAAAAATTTAAAACATAAATAAATAAATACTTATAAAAAAGTTCAGGAATCTGCTACTGGTTGGCTCACCATAACTGTGGTACGGCCCTCGCTGCAGTGCCTTTCGTCCGTTCGATCTCATATCACGGTGCATACCCAAATTTTTTCCTCCGTGAGCACAGAACACCCAAATATCTATACTGGTATACAAAAAATATACACAGTTGTCTTCCAAATTGTGTTGGTCAATTTTCGTCNCCCCCCCCCCCCTCTCTCTCTCTCTCTCTCTCGATCTCGATCCTTAATTTCTTTCTCTCTACATCAATCTATACAGATACACTTTATGCATCTCTAGTTGCGATTTATCCCATTAGTTTTCTGCTTCTTTTTTCTTTTTTTCCCTCTTATTTCTTCCCTTTCTCGAGGAAATGGAAATGATCGCCGTAGAGGATTCGAACTTTATTATGGTTTGTTGCTACGCTATCGGTGGAGGAATGGTGGCTGGAAAACGAATATCCCGAGGATTTGTTAATCCTTTCGTAATACCTAGGGTGCCGCCGTGTTGTAAGTTTAGTGTCCTCTAAATTTGAAATTAGGGTTTGTTACAATATCTGTTCAGTCCCTGTTTTACTTTGATTCGAGGTGCTAGTCGTGGATTTGAACTTGCTAGTGAGCACGGTGTAGGGTTCTTTAAAGCTATTGGTTTTGGAACTGTTGCGCGCTGGTTTTATTGTTCGAAGTCATCGGGGGTTCGAGAAATCTTCGGGTTTTTTTTTTTTATTTGGTATTATGCGTGGATTAAAATGGTATAAAGTTTGAGTTTCTTACTGAGTTCCGTCCTGTCTTCCCTTTAGCTGCCCATGTCCCATGAACCTGATGAATTTCATGTCCCATGAACAACTTTGAACTAATCGACGATTCTATTGGTACATGAGCTGTTTCAGTTAGGATATCGGAATTTAGATTATCATATACGATTTCATCCAAAGAAAATTCTATTCACGATTTTGAATGGCGGGAAGAAAGGAATTTGGGTTTCTGCCGAAGAGTGTTGGTAATTTGAAAGAGCAGTTGGTAAGAACAACTCTTCGGAATGTGAGATCACAAGGGCACCCATATGTTGACCTTAGGGAAGATGGGAAGAAGTTGATATTTTTCTGTACGTTATGTCTTGCGCCTTGTTATGGAGAATCAAGTTTGTTTGATCACTTGAAGGGCAACCTGCATACCGAAAGACGAGCCTCTGCCCAAGTTACACTGATGAAATCAAACCCATGGCCTTTCAACGATGGTGTGTTTTTCTTTCATAATGATTCAAAAGAACAACATAAAAGTGTCCATGTTTCAGAATCTGATCAACACAAATTACTGGATGTGAGTCACGTGGATGCGGAAAGCCTTGCTATTGTTAGTTATAAGCAAAACTTGGGGCCGAATGGCAGTACTTATATTCCGCGAGAAATTACGGTGAATGCCGATTCTGATGAAGCTCCCTGTGGTTCAAATCTGGATGGAAATGGAACTACTCATGATCTTGTTATTCCAGCTGTGCTTCAAAAAGACGAAATATCTGATTTGATGGTGAAGCATATGGGAGTAGGACAAATTGGTGCTAGGTTTTGCAAGAAGGATGATGTCACCAATGACATTCATAGAATATGGTGTGAATGGCTCGGGAATATAGAATGTACCCATGAGGATACCAATGTGGTTCCAGAACATGAGTTTGCTGTCGTTACATTTTCTTATAACTACAACTTGGGTCGGAAGGGTGTACTTGATTGTTTTAGAAATTTGCTTCCTTCTAGTCCTCATTCAGAAGTTGAGGATAGTGGCAGTTCTAGAGGTAAAAAGAGAAAGTCATTTTCTGATCCGGAGGATATTAGTTCAACAAATCAAGGGTACTCTTCTGAAGAAGATTCTCCATCTTTGAACAATTCAAATTTGAAAATGATGGTGTCTGGAAATGATGATCAGCTGGTGTTTTCTCAAATTCTTTCAAGCAAAACCATGAGGAAGCAGTTGAGACACCAGCAGCGTGTTGCGTCTGAGAGGTCGTGTGACATTTGCCAACAGAGGATGCTCCCAGATAAAGATGTGGCAGCTCTTTTTAACAGGAGAACTGGAAAGCTAGTCTGCAGTAGTAGAAATTTGACCGGGGTTAGACATTTTCTCTGACTTTCTCTTTTTAGTGATTGACTTTCAATGCTGATTTTGTAATGATGTCCTTTGTAGTTGTTCTGAACTATTACATTTTGTCTCACTTTTTATGCTTCCTTTTGTTTCAGGCATTCCATCTGTTTCACACATCCTGTCTCATTCACTGGATATTGCTTTGTGAGGTAGAAATTTATTCAAAACAGTCAGCTGAGCCTGAAGTGAAACGGAAATCCAGGAGAAAGGTTAAATGCAAAAGTGGCAAAATTAGGAAAAAGCCTGAAATGCAGGAGAAGCAAGTACACTATGTGTTCTGTCCTGAATGCCAGGGTACTGGTATTAAAGTTGATGGGGAGGAGGTGGAGAAACCCATTGTCCCACTCTCGGAGGTTAATAGTTTTCTTGGATCGTTGTAGTTGTTTATCTGAATTATTATAATATAAGTTTATATATTTTTCCAATTTGTTGTGTTTGTGTTATATCTTAATCTTTACTAGGATTTGACAGAGAAATAGGTGCATATAATTGTCCTTTAATGGAATTGGTGCCTTTATTACTATCTTTTCTTTTTCTTTTTTTTTTTTACTNCACCCCCACTTTTTGTTTTGTTGGATACCTTTATCTTTTCAGGTATTTAAGCATAAGATCAAACTATGTGATGCTCGTAAAGCATGGATGAAAAGTCCGGAAGTGTTGCAAAACTGCTCAATGGGGTTTAGCTTCTCACATAGTTCTGGCGAATTTTGTCAGGTAAAGGTTGTCTAGTTGTTTATGCAATTTGCATCTGCCAAGAGTATGTTATCGACATTATATTATCATCCATCAAACTAAATATCTAACCACTAACATAATAAAACCTTATTGCTCGACGTTGATGCTAACAAATTTCATTGAACTGCCAATTTTCCAGGAAAATGTGGCACCCCTGAAATTGCTACACTTCTATCGTGCGGTTGATTAGATTGAGTTGTAGATACTTAGATGGAAGACATGTTCATTTTCTGACAAATCTGATGTGTATGGTACTTCTGACAACTATAATGGTTGTAAATGTGCTTATCCTTGAAAAAACTGTAATGGTTGGTGTGTAAAATTCAGTCTAACAGAACACCGGACAAAAGACAGAAACGGAGAATGAAGTGATAACTCGTCACTGAAACTCCTCCTCAAAGGCTGAGCCCAAGTTCCGCACAGTAACTTCAGTTTCTACTTTCTATCATAAAATATTTAAATAAAGAATTGGAATTCTGGATGTGGTTGATATAATAATATGTTATTGCATATTGGGAGTGGTTTCAATTTCTGGAGTGGTTCCAATGAAACTGAATGTGAGGCTTAGTTACAACCTTCCATTGATTTAGCTTTAATAGATGTAAATTGGTTACAAAAAATTATGCATCGTAGAAACGCAAATGTACACCAATCACCTAACTAACTATTCATCTTTGAAATGTAAATATACATCAATCACTTTCTAAATGAGTAATATAATTGCTATACTTGGGTAATTTCCTTGAGCTAGTAGCCCTCTTTTATCTCTTTCTAAAAACCTAATGAAAAAAATGAGAGATTCAATACAAAAATTGACATGTTACATTCAAATCATAAAAAACTTGCACTATTAAAATTAAAATATCGATTGACTAATCTTTACTTAAAATGTACAAATAGGTTATAATTTTTTTTTCACATAAATATAAAAAATAAGTTTTATTTTTATATGTACAATATGAGTGCTAAATTAAAATATATATGAAAGGATGACTAGTTTTTTTTTTTTTTATGTAAAAATTGATAAAATTACCATAAATATTGAATTTTGTATATAATCAAAATATTATTTATTTAGTAAAAAAATAAAAAAGTCTTTTAGTCAATTTATAATTTTTTTATTTAATAATACATGAAAATAGATATAGATTTGTAGAGTATCTTCTCATTAATAATATATAGTTCGTATGAAAATTTTGATGAAAAACTAAAAAATTATTAATTTTTAAAAAGTATTACTTTCTTATATTAAAATAGTTATCAAATCAATAAGAACCTAATAAATTATGTTGTTTTTAAACTTTGGCTTTTCATAAAAATAATTTATTACATATTATTTTATAATTTATAATAAATATTTGATAATTTAATTTATAATTGAACTATGCAAGTTAGACATAATTATATGTATATTTCAATTTAGTTATCCCATAAGAATCATAGAATATAAAATCTTTTCAAAAGATTTTAATTTTAAGAGCATCTCCAATGTGACTTTTGACATTATAAAAATTCATCCATTCATCAACTTTTGAAAGTTTGTTATAAATTTTTTCTCCAATGCATCTTGTCATAAACTCTTTCATGATGAGGTGGATAGCATTTAATATTGACAATGTTGAACACACTTTTTAATATCTAACACCATGTTAAACATGATGACTAATCAATTCACTTTATATTTGATTTAATTTTTTATTGTTCTTGTATTAATGATTATTTTAATTGGTCCACCTATACATATAACTTCTTATCAAATTGATGCATTGACGATACTAATTTGATTCAAATTTCTACTCTTTTAACATTATTCTTACATGGGTTAACATTACAATCATTGATTGACATGTGTTAAAAATTATTGTCTTTCAAAGTTATAACATTGGAGATGCTCTAATAAGAAACAAAAAGTTTCTACATAAAGTGATAATATTTGATGGAAAAAATTTAATATGTTTATTTATAAATTTCATTCTCTTTAGTAATACTAGTACTTTATTACCTGTGCGCATTTATGAGCGATGTCAAATTACTTATACTAAGCATTAACTAAAGTTCAAATACAATCACAAACAAAATTTTAGATAGATTATTATCGATAGCGAAAATATTTGTTGTACACGATATTATATTTAACTGGACCTATACGTATAATAATATCTTTATCTTTTTTTGATCCGTCATTTTTAAAATTATCAGTATAACCGATTATGTTCAAAACTTTCAATCATCAACATTACATATTCCATCGATACATTATAGTGACCAAAACTTAATAAACATAATTTACAACAAAATTATAAAGTTCTATATTAAAAAATCAGTTTTATACACATCATCACTGATTGCATATGTCATTTTTAACTGAACTTTTTCTTTTTTGTTGATATTTTATTTATTTTTTTAAAATTTTCACAAATGCACTTAGTATATATATATATATATATATATAGGATGTGGTTCAAATGAGAACCAAGTCCTAGCGTGAGAACCGTGAGAATCGCTATTTTTAATTGTATATAGTGCTATGATTGATTGTATTTAGTGCTATTTTTAATCAGAATGTATTTTATTAAAAATAGCAACTTAGCATTTGTAAAAATGATAGCACCATGTAAGATTAAAAATAGCATCATACAGAATTAAAAATAGCATCAAATATGGTTCTCGCGGTTCTCACACCAGAAAAGGTTTTTATTTGAACCACTCATATATATATATATATATAGGGGATGGATCCAATGAGACCACTCCTTAAAATGAATACGTGAGACTCAATCTTAGCCACTCATTTTGTCTAGATCAAAATCAATTAAAATATACATTAATTAAATAATAAAATAGTTGACCGTTGACTCCGGCGTTGACCGTTGACTTCCGGCGAGAATCGTTGACTTCCGACGTTGACCGTTGACTTCCGACGTTGACCCGTTGTATTGAAATAAATAACCTAGCAACAAAAGACACTCAACCTTGAGTGGTGTAGTGGTTGCATTGCTTGTCTTACCTCCATGAGGTACCAGATTCAAATCCTATGGGTTACAATTTTTTTATAAAAAAAAAATACAACTAACTTAGCAACAAAACACAACTAACTTAGCAGCATCAGACAACTAACCTAGCAACAAAACACAACTAACCTAGCAGCAAGAAAGAACAACTAAACTAGCAACAAAGACAACTAACCTAGCAACAAAAGACAACTAACCTAGCAGCAAGAAAGAAATAACCTAGAAAGAAATAACCTAGCAACAAAAGACAACAGACAACTAACCTAGCAGCAAGAAAGAAATAACCTAGAAAGAAATAACCTAGCAACAAAAGACAACACCTAGCAACAAAAGACAACTAACCTAGCAGCAAGAAAGAAATAATCTAGCAACAAAAGACAACTAACCTAGAAAGAAATAACCTAACAACAAAAGACAACTAAGCAACAAAAGACAACTAACCTAGAAAGAAATAACCTAACAACAAAAGACAACTAACCTAGCAGCANG